AAAATCAGTACCACCAAAAATTCTCTGGTGAGAGAGAAACTTCTAGGTGTTTAGACATAGGAAATTTTGAGTGAAATTAACCAGAGAGGTTCAGGTTGTTTCAGATATGAGGACCAGACAACTCGATGGGGACAGCTTCCAGAGAAACAAGCCAAATTCTATGCTTTCAGACAAAGCAGTGTTCATTTATAGATCGCAGGAACTAAAGCAACCTATAGGGCATGGCTCAGCAGTGACAATAGAATTAGTTCCAAGCTAGAGGACCTAAACTTTAGTAGGAGTCACTTTCCTCGTCTCTGAGACACAATAGCATGCAGCTGTAAGTTAATGCAGGAAGGGTCCATTTTGTCTCATGTTTCAGTCCATAGTCTACTGACTCCAAGACAGGGCAGCATGGCACAGGGCATGGCAGAGGAGAGCTGCTCACCAAGGAATGGAAGACCGCAGAGGAGAGAGGGGAGGGAGGAGCCCAGGAGAGAGTCAACCCTTCCAGGCCAACCTGCCAGAGCCCTGCCACTTCCAGCCAGGCCGCACCTCCTAACAACACATGAGCTTCAGTGCCTCATAATCTCACCCCTACCAAATGCTCCAACGATCAGAAGAGGCTTTGTAGGAACATATAACTCTAAACCACAGCAGAAAGTAAGCAAGAGTCTAACAAAAAGCATTAAAGCAATTTCTTTAAAGGAGACCTAAGTTTATCCCACGTGAACTTTTAGGAGCTTGCTTGACTTGTGCTTTTAAATTTTTTATTATAATGCCCCCAGATTGCACTAGCAGCTTACATTTATTAAAAAACTACAAATCCATAGATCTACAATCTGATCACATCTAAAACTAAATACTTTTTACTGGTGACTCAGGCCTGCATGGGTCATGGCATCCCACTCAGGGATAGCATAGTAAAACCAGCCTTAAACATTAAATCACCACTTAAGCCTTTCTTGTGAGTCAATGGACACAATCCCTGCAGTCCAACGCATGCATCTCCATAGATATGATTCACGTTGCCTTTGAATAAAGTAGAAATTCAGAGTGATCTGTGACGAGAGTTGGACAGGCAGCAGAAATGCCTTATCCAGCTCAGAATTATATCCCCCACTCCATTTAAATCATGTCTTTATAGTGATAGAAAAACATGCAAGAGCCTCTGAATGTGCTTTCTACATATATTGAGTTTTAAGCCATGAAAACCATAATCCCAGAGTGCAAGAAGGTCAATGTTGTGGAAAACACTTAAACATCAGCAATCACTCGCCATATCTGGAAGGGATCCACGATGACCAGTCTCCTTAGGAATTCCTCATTTCATGCTGTGTTCTGACAGCATGCTGAAGTAATGCCACTGTAATTCTAGACAGGCCAGAGCACTGGTATCTCAGAGACACATGGAAAATAGGTCAGAGTGTTTTCTGGGACTTAGCCAGACTCTGCCTGCTTTTGCCAGTCACCTTCAGTATACTTTTCTTATTACAAAGTTGAGTTATGCAAGGAGGTTGAACACCCTAGTATATGCTGTGCAAGTTCAGTTTCTGGCCAGTGAAGCCTAATAATTGATACCTTTGGCTTCTTCCCTGTCCTAACCAAGACCCTCATTAAGGAGCTTCCTTACACATGGCACCAGAATTCTCATTATTTAGACAGATGCTTTCTTGATTAACTCTGTCCTCATGCAAACTTATAATAATTTTGTATTTGTCAATGAAAATTCTGATACTACTATAAATTATTTCCATCCACATAGCTTCATAAATATTTAAGTGAGAGTATCACAAGTGTAACATACTCTTTCGTGGAATATATTTTCTTTTCTCAATCATATTATTATCCTAGCAGTTATATAATTCCCAGATGATTGGATTCCTCAAAATAGCTTGTTAGATGGGAAGGGTGACAGAAATATGTATATCTTAATATATAGTCATAGATTTCCTACCCTTTCTTCTGGATCCTGCCTTCAGCTACTTGAGTCATAATTTAAAAGCAATGGGAGTTCTGTATGCGGGAAAGTTAGCCCTTCCACTTAATGATGTTTTTGAGATTGTCATGCAAGGTCATAAACTCCAGGAGTTCTCTAAAGTGCCTGACACACTCATACCCATTTTATTAATGTGTAATCCATTAATAAAAATAATATTCATAATATTAGGAAAAAAAAAAGAGAGTGAACATGGGACAGAGAAGAGGGGCTCTCAAGTCTGTCACATGTAGTAGAACATAAACATGACATGCATTAGAAGGAAGGCCATAACTACCAGGGACTTAGAATGTTTTCAATCAGGGTGAGGCCATAGGAATTGTCTGTTCCACTGAGCAGAATGTAGCCTTCTGAGCAGGAAGCAGAGAAGAGCTGGCCAGCAGGTCAAGTACCAGTGTTAAAAGCCTACACGCTAGAAAGCTTGGGGCTCTAATGATGAAAAAGCCTCGATACTTATCAAATATCAGCACATGGGTGATGTTCCATTTCAGGGACAATTGGCTAGAAGGAACAGGCTGAAGAAAATGAAGTTGAAAAACAATTCCAAGGGTTTTTTCCTCTTTACCTTCCTTATATTCATCAGCTTTCATTTGCTTTGGTTACACATGCTTCTTTTACCAAATGAGATCCATTTTGCACTACAGACAAAATATGAACTAAAGAAGAGGTCTCCATCAGGTGGTGGTAGTGCACCAGTGTAGGCTGGAGAAAAACTGCGGTTGGCCTCTAGTTCTGCTACCTGCAAATCTTGTGAACTTGGGAAAACTTCAAGTTGGTCATCGTCAAATGTGAATTAGTAAGCTATACCAAATAGGGATGTATGAACTATATATAGACTTTAGGGAAATGTAACTGGAAAATTTACCCAGTATTTGCAGAAAATAATATTATTAATTTTATCTGAGATAAAATTACCCAGCACGAGGATCTTTATTTTTGTTTAATCTCAGGACATTTCATATAATAATGAATCCATACTATCATATAAAGAACATGGAAAACGATAAAAAGAAATCATCTCTCCTAAGTAAAACTGTAAAGTTCCCCAACAGTACATTTTAGGAGTACAGTGTCCTTTCAACCTGGCTGTAATTCCAACTCTCAGAATTGCTGTCATGGCACAAGTTCTTTAATCCCTCCCTCTTGACTTTACAGCCATAGCATCCATTCTATTTTTGTCATATACAACCTGCACAATATGTAGTGCTCCCTTGAAGTCTGGAAAATTACATTCAAGCTAACCTATGAAAATGCCATTTTAAAGAAGTGGCACTTAGCTCTCCTTCTTCAAGAAAAATATGCCAATGGATACCATGTGCAAGGCCCCGGTTTACAACCCCAGTTCTGGGTGATCAAATGGGCCAGGTTATTGGCTTCTGCAAAGCTCACCTGAAGGGATTGTTACCCTCCATTCTCAGAAACTCTCTGGAGCAAATGTGCATAGAATACCTGGTTTACCCAACATATTCTACATGACTGAAAGCAGACTCAAACACACTTTCTGTTCCTGTCCCATTATGGATTTATCTCTTCTTTACCCATGGTCAGGGCTTGTGTTTGGCTGCCCCCGCCCAAAGCCTCATGCAGTCATACTTCTGGCTTTTTCAGAGGTGTTTGCATTTACAGTGTGTGATGCTGGGACTGATTCATAGTGCAATGCTAGGATCCTGGACATAAGGTAAAGGGCGTGAGTGCTAACTGCACTGAGTAGCCTGGATAAAAGATAAGGGATAGAAAGAGCTGTAGTCATCCCTTCTTGCTTTGCTACCATCTGCCCTCCATGAACTGTTTCTCCTCTGTGAAGCCTGTCTTCCCTGTCACCATACCTTGCAGCCAGATTATGGAATGAGACCTCTACAAACTGGGAGCTTAATAAACATTGCCTCCTTTAACTTTGGGTATTTTGTCTCAGCAGCAAGAAAAAGACATGCACCATCCTAAGGGTCCGTTCCCCAGCAGTTTTCCATAAGGTACTGAATGGTCCTGCCCTTCTACTACCCCTGTACAAATCCCTATGTTTAAGACCTAATTCCCACTTCAAGGTATTTGCAGGTGGGACTTTCAGTAAGTAATTGGAATTAGGGTGATGAGAATAGGTCCCAAAGCTGTGATTGTATCAGTTTAACAGGAGAAATTAGAATTGTCTCTACTACCCTTTCTTCCTCCTTCACTCCTTCCTCGCTTCCCCTTTCCCTTACCCTCTCGTCTCCTTTCCTCCCTGCACTCTCTTCTGCCTCCCCTATGTCCTATCTACTTGCTCTTCTATTCCCTTACCCCCTCCCTTCAACTTTCCACTTTCCCTCTCAAAGTACTCAACCCTCATGAGAGGCCACAAAAGAAGACAAAAGTCTGCAAGCTATGAAGATGCCCTGAGCAGCACCAGAATACTGCAGCCTAAAAAAATATGAAAAATACATATTTAAGTTCCCTAAAGAGCATTGTCATATCAGCCTGAGTACATTTATAGGATTTCACATCTCAAACCTGAATCACAGCATGGCATGGCTGGCCTCCATTAGCCCACCACCCAAGTTAAATGTAAATTAGACTCCAATTGAAACGTGCACTTTCCAAAGTGCAAACTGCTTTCCTAGTTAAATTCTATGTGATTGTTTTCAAGGACACCCTTGTCACATTCGTTTTTTTGTTCCATAAAAGTCAAAAAGGTAGCCAGGCAAATTTAATATGGGATTGCACAACAAGCTCAAAAAGTTTCATAAGAAAAGGGAGATTTTAAATATCTATCTGGGTACTACCATGAAGCAAGCCAAAGAGGATACTCTAAATACTTGCCAAATGAGAATCGAGAGCCCTGAGTGGCGGCTCATGTCTGCAATCCCAGCACCAGTGAGGCAGAAGCAGGAGTACGGCATCGAGTTCGAGGTCAGCCTGGCTACATAGAGAGTGCAAGGCCAAGTGCAGCTGCATAGAGATATCTTGTCTCAAAAGAAAAAATTAATTAATTAGAATGATAAATTAGACTGCAAAAACAAAGGTGAATTGATACAATTTAATGCTGATTTCCAGGCATGCATCAAGAAACAGTTTAAAACATTTAATTATATAAAACCAAAGCATAAAATGAACACCTTACAAAACTTTTCTCCACTGCATCACCACCTAGCTCCCTATTGTGGTGTGTTAACACCTGCAACAAACTCCCTACTGTAAAACCTATTTTCCTAACTGAAGAATCTACAGACTTAGACATCAAAAGGCTTAGAAGAAGCAACACGACATTTGGCCCTGGCAACTGCCCTAGGATTGGTAGAGCGAGGCTTGGCACAAAAGAACTTTTGGAATCTTTCGTTCTCCTCTTTTCCGGCGTCTTCAAACAGATTTGAGAAGTAGGTCGGGGCAATCTTATTGATCCTCTTGAAATACTTCAGGATTTTCTCCTTGTTGCTCTCGGCACGGGCTTCCGGACCCCACAGGAACTCATGGCGTGGAGGATCGCTGCCGGGCACCTGCTGGTACACCAGGTAGTTCAGCCTCACGAAATCTTGGGTGAGGAGCTTCTTGGGTTCTCCAAACATGATGTGCTTCTTTCCGGGGTACACTTGCAACTTTCTGAGGAATTTCCAGATATCTTCCTCAGCTGCACGGTGGTCCTTCATCACGATCACAGCCAGGACTTTCATCAGCAGCCCGGTCTTAGGGTAGCCCCTGCCAGAGCGAATCCTCCCATTGTTGGGGAGGTTCAGCGTGCTGAAAAGGTTGTAGGAGTGACGGGCGGACTCCACTTCTACCACTTCAACTGCGAAGACTGCCTCCAGGTGCGCACAGGCACTCTTGAAAATCTCAGGAAATTCATGTCTGCTCCTCGGGGTGAGGTCAGTCAGCAATTCTGCCCTGGTGAAGAACTTCCTCAAATGAAATTTGTGGAGCATGGACCACTCCAACCTTTCAACTGGGGAAGTAGGTGGATCCAATAAACACTCACTGTAGAAACTGGCTTCAGAAATGTTCTCCTCATACGCGAAATTGGAAACTACCTCAGAAGTCACAGAAGTACCATCCTCAGAAAGGCCAGTAATGGATGGTGTTCTCTTCTGAGATAGGGAAGGGATACAGGAAGCAGCACCAGGGGGGTCCTGGGAAAAAGATGATTCCTCTTCCTCTTCTTTTTCTTCTCCCACTGCTGCTGCCCCTGCTCCTTTTTCTGCTTCTGCTTTTAATGCCTCGGCTTCTGGTCTGGATAGCACGGCTTCCTGTGCAACATCACAAACTTTACTGTCACCTCCGGCTTGTGGGCACTTGTGATGAGCCCGGCATTTGCTGTTGTGACCACGAGGCATGATGAATCTGGTTAGGCCCAAGAGGGACGAGCTTAGGGAAGATGGCTTGTGCTGCACGCACCTGGAGGACACAAAAGAAGATTGTGTGAGTCTCTCAGGGCACAGCTATTTCCTTGCATTTAACCAAGGCTGCTTCTACAGGGCAATGTGGGAGTGGTACTGTAGGAACCAACAGTGGTCCTGTTTCAAGGAGTCTGCCCTTGTAGATGAGTGTTGAATGTGTCTTAGGTGGTACCATGTTGTCCCTGTCTGTGGTGTGCTGGAGAGGTGACAAGTTTGGATACTGGAGTCTTGCATTTTCGCTGTTGGGTCTTCTTAATTTGCTATCACACAAATCCCTAACTGTACGGAGTTCCTGCACTTTTCATACCTGCTGCTGTTAAGTTGACTTCTCAAGCCCCAAAGAGAAAAGTCTGTACCCCAGAGCCTGGACGTGTAAGTGCAAGAGATTCCCCTGCAATCATCATGTCATGTGCTCCGCCACACTGACAGTGATATAGAGCCCTTTCTTTCCTGGGCTGCTAATGTGTTCCCTTCTCCTTAGAGAGTTCTCTTGATCTCCAGAGGCTGCCTGCCACTGTCTCTGCTGAATTCTATTTGAATCCACCACCAAATATGCGTCATGTGTCTCTGATTTGCTATGAAGCCGTGACAGAGAAGGCATGACACCCCTTCCCGGGGATTTGTACGCTGAATGTATGGATCAGGCTGCAGTTCTGAAATACCCACTCAAGCAAGCCTTTT